ATGTACAACAGGTAAGATCACAACAGTGGAGCATGTACAACAGGTAAGATCAGAGTAAAAGAGCTTGTACAACAGGTAAGATCACATTAAAGTAGCATATACAACAGGTAAGATCACAGTAAAGGAGCATGTACAACAGGTAAGATCACAGTAAAGGAGCATGTACAACAGGTAAGATCACAGTAAAGTAGCATGTACAACAGGTAAGAACACAGTAAAGTAGCATGTACAACAGATAAGATCACAGTAAATGAGCATGTACAACAGGTAAGATCACAGTAAATGGGCATGTACAACAGGTGAGATCACAGTAAATGAGCATGTACATCAGGTAATATCACAGTAAAGGAGCATGTACAACAGGTAAGATCACAGTAAATGAGCATGTACAACAGGTAAGATCACATTAAAGGAGCATGTACCACAGGTAAGATCACAGTAAAGGAGCATGTACAACAGGTAAGATCACAGTAAATGAGCATGCACATCAGGTAAGATCACAGTAAAGGAGCATGTACAACAGGTAAGATCACAGTAAAGGAGCATGTACATCAGGTAAGATCACAGTAAAGGAGCATGTACCACAGGTAAGATAACAGTAAATGAGCATGTACAACAGGTAAGATCACAGTAAAGGAGCATGTTCAACAGGTAAGATCACAAAAGTGGAGCATGTACAACAGGTAAGATCACAGTAAAGGAGCTTTTACAACAAGAAAGATCACAATAAAGGAGCATGTACAACAGCTAAGGGCACTGTATTGGAGCTTGTACAACAGGTAAGATCACAACTATAAAGCTTGGAGAACAGGTATGGTCACCATAGTGGGGCTTGTACGACAGGTATTGTTACAACAATAGAGCTTGTACAACAAGTAAATTCACACCAGTGGAGCTTGTACGCAAGTAAGTTCACAACACTGGAGCTTGTACGACAGGTACGGTTTCAGTATTGAAGCTGGTACAACTGAATTTCACAGCAGGAAAGGTTACAACATTGAGACACATATACTATGTAAGGAAATTTCACAAGAAAGTTGAATTTCTAAAACTACAAGAGTTAAAATACATAAAAATAAAAAATATGTGACCAGCACAAAAATGAACATAGCAGGGTATACAAGTACTGATGGGTAAGAACTGATTCAGGAAATGTTTTTGTGTGATAATCAAAAAGGAATTTTTTCTGCTTTATTATGATGATTTATTTATATTATTGTAGGACAACTCATACCTGTCACAGGTGTCAGAGATTAGGTGTCTGGTAGTCGACGAGGCAGACAGGATGATAGAAAAAGGACACTTCCAGGAGCTAACTCACATCCTCAACCACATCAACAGGTATGTATACCCAACTCACATCCTCAACCACATCAACAGGTATGTGTACCCTACTCACATCCTCAACAACAGGTATGTGTACACTACTCACATCCTCAACCACATCAACAGGTGTACCGTACTTGTATTATCAATCACATAAATTTGTGCAAAGATGTATAATTCCACTTGCCATATACTTGGGTATATTTTCTGAAAATTATCAATATTTACTTTGAAAATACATTCATAGCTACGTAGGGCTCACAGAATTTTTCAAAAGCTGTATGCGAGCTAGTATTGTAAATAAGAAGTTTGAACCCACAAATGTGTGTATATCCTTATTAAATCCACAACAACATCCACCAGTATCACACTCATCACATGATTAGTCCTAGAGCAAAAGGTCTATAACATATTTATAGTGATAGTCTCTACCTTGGTGTGTTATATGATGTGATGACTGTTGTAGAGATGCAGAGAAGAAACTAAAAAGACAAACATTTGTGTTCTCCGCCACGCTAACGACTATCCACTCAGGACCCCACAGGCATCTCAACAAGAAGGTTAAGGTCACAGAGGAGCTGAAGCTGGGTTAGTGACTCTTATGCCAAAATTTAAACTGATACAACATTTTCAAACGGGTGTCGATCCTTTTTTTTGTTTTTTTTGTTCTTTTAAGATTTTGTCAGCATCGTCATTCTTGAACCATAGATATTTCTGGAGGAACTTACAAAATTTAAAATAGGTGTGCAATGTAGCATAATCAAGTCTGACACTTAGATCTTCAGCATTTATCATAATTTTTACTAATTGTTTTTGGCTACTTTTGCATAATTTACAGAAAAGCTGATGAAAACAATTGGTCTAAAGGATCGACCCAAGATCATTGACCTCACAAGGAAGATTGGCACTGTAGAGACACTGACCGAGGCTCGTATCAACTGTACGATGGATGAGAAGGTCAGTAGTTCAATCACAGAGGAACAGATGGGGATGATGATGATGATGAATATACTCACCACTCTGGTTTTACTTTTTACATCATTTTGGAGTTATGAAAAAGTGGAAAAAAAATCTTTAGTTAGTTTTTCGCATGTGTAACTAAATTTTTCAGATTCATCTTCAGAAACTGACTGAAATCCAATTCTACAATTCCATCTCAAATGGTTATTCCTTTCACCACTGTTGACCATAATAGACTAATCCAGATCAATGCATGGTAGAGCCTACTAAAGTTACATAGGGGTGAAAGGGTTAAATAATGTTTGGCTTGTACAAACGCTGGTAGTTTGGTAACGGTTACTATCATACAGTCTTTTGGGGAGGTTATTGTTGCTTTGTTTCTTGGACCTAATTATATACATGTATTCATATATTGATCTTCTTGTGAATAAAACACTTCTTTTTACTTGAAAGTGTCTTTAACAACTGTTAGTATGTTCATGTGCTGGAGCTAATGTTGAAACTATATAACTCAATTAAACAAAACGGAAAGATATATTGAGCTAAGCAGTTTTAGTTGCATTTCACACACTTTCTCCCGCATTGGAAATGTGGAATGAGGGATATCTCCCTAATTGGAAATGTGGAATGAGAAATATCTCCCTCATTGGAGGTTTCAGAGGTTGACTAACACCTATGTAACTGGCATGTTTTGATCATTATTAAATCTTAAGGAAGTTGTATAGATTAAAATTTAACGTTTTGAAAGCTAACAATGGCTGAATTAAATCAATCTGTGGTTGTTATGTGTTTGTGTGTCTAGGACCTGCACCTGTACTACTTCTTGAATCAGTATCCTGGTCGTACTTTGGTGTTTGCCAACAGTAAGGACTGTATCAGGCGCCTTGTGTCTGTGTTAACCCTCCTAAACGTCAACCCTCTTCCACTTCATGCAGACATGCACCAGAAACAGAGGCTTAAAAACCTCGAGAAATTCACAGGTTAGTGTTATCTTAATGACAGAATTTTTCTGAAGTTGATTTAAGAGTTTTGATTTTAGATATTCTTCGTATGAAACAAATTTCTCTGAAGTTGATTTCAGAGTTTTGATTCTAGAAATTCTTCGTATGAAACATTTCACCTAGCAGAATATCTGATTATTAATGTTTCAGTAACTGGAAAAGATACTCCTGAAATATCATTAGCTATGAAATAACAACAGCTATGTCACCAACGTTTAATTGTCCAGTTAAACCCCTTTACAGCAGTGACATTGGAAATGAAAGTTTCAGGTTATTATAAGGGCATAAATTCTTCAGACTTAATTTGATTTCTATTACTGGAGTAGTAAACCATTATTAAGAGACATTGAACCTTATGTCAAAGATCACATAAGAAAACCTTGTCAGCTATTATGTTAAGAGTTTTATGTTTTATTTTTCAGACAACCCCAGGGGTCTTTTATTGGCATCTGATGTTGCAGCGCGAGGTTTGGACATACCTAATGTCCAGCATGTTGTCCACTACCAGGTCCCACACACCGTTGAGGTCAGTCTCTTGGTGTTATTTCCAGAAATCTAGACAATATGTATTAATTGAAGAAATAATCAAATCTTGATAAAGATTGCCTAAATACCTACCACTCAGTTCCCTAATTTGAGGCTGATGCTTGTCTAGATTCATTCAACTTTAATGAGGCTGCTGTGACCGATTGGCTGAAGGTTTATGGATAATATCTCTGGAAGTAATTATCAGATTTCAATGAAATTTGTCTAGTATACTTTCTACACATGTAACTGGCTCATACTTGATGTTCAGCTAAATTCATAAAATATTTGGTGCCGCTGCTGTGATTTGATTGTCTGATGGTTTCGAGATGATATGTTTTGGGGGAATTACCAGATTTTATTAAATTTGCTAACATCCAAATGTCCTCACTCAAATCAGATGCTTGGTTGAATTAGAATAAATTCATTCAAAGAATTATCAGATTCTCTTCAAACATGCCCATTACATGTACCTTACACTTACAACCTTAGTCCAAGTGTGATTCCTGCCCAGATTTGTGAATAGCCAAACACACTTAATTTGCTGATGGTTTTTGAAAGTATCTATGACAGAATTATTGGACTTAGATGAGACTTGTCTGGTATACTTAAAACCCAAGTCTTTTAAAACTAATGTTCCGTCATTGCTTATTGCAGAGTTATCTTCTCTTGGGAGCAGGTATTGATTGGTAGGTCATTGGTTTGTGTGGGGATATTACGTCGGTTTCTCAAAAATTGACGACGTTACTCTCACAAACAAGGGACGTAACAATCAATCCCTGCTCCCAAGAGAAGATAACTCTGCAATACGCAAAGACGGAATAATGAACTGACAATAACACAACAGCAAATATGTTCCATTTTATTCCATCATTTGTAAATTTGAATTTTTACTTGTTAAGAACTGACATGATTCGTTTTGTTTTGTTTTTTAGAGGGTTTTGTTTTGCCTATAACTGACAAAATATTTTTTTCCGTTGTTTGTCCAGAACTATATCCACCGCAGTGGGAGGACGGCCCGAGCCACCAAGGAGGGACTCAGTATCATGTTAGTAGGTCAGGGGGACGTCAAAAACTACCGCAAGGTCGTCGGCTCTCTCAACAGAAGTAAGTAAAGGTTACTCTTGTAAATATCAAATATCAATTTTCTGTCAACAGAAGTATTTTTAGCTCACTACAATGTTTCAATAACTAAGTTCATTTACAAAGATAGACAATGATGACTCCTGTAAATATCTCATTATCAGACCTTATAAGATTTCTAGGACAGAAAACATTAAGTCATAGAAGAAAAGTCAGTACTGTAGTCAGCACTACAGAATTATATATGTTTCAGGCGAGGAGCTACCAGTGTTCCCAGTCAACCATCAGATCCTTACAGTCATCAAAGAGCGGGTCGATTTGGCCAAACAGCTGGACAAGCTAGAACACAGGTAAGTAGGGTGGTCAAACTTGAACACAGGTAAGTAGGGTGGTCAAGCTAGAACACAGGTAAGTAGTGTGGTCAAGCTTGAACACAGGTAAGTAGGGGGGTCAAGCTAGAACACAGGTAAGTAGGGTGGACAAGCTAGAACACAGGTAAGTAGGGTGGTCAAGCTTGAACACAGGTAATTTAATTAGAGGGGTCAAAGTCTAATCACAGATACCTACTGAGATAAGGTCGACAACAACATTTTTGCAGTTAGATACAACCAATGTATTAACAAGATAATGATTACCAGGTTTTTCAACTTTACTATCCCAAAATTAACAAACCATCAACAGATGCAGGTTGTTTTACTTTTGAAGATGGAATAATTCAAAGACTGGTTATTAATTCCATACTGGAATGTAATTATCTCCCTTATACCGATCCACTGTGGAATTTTAGGAAGTGACTTAATGTGCATATATTTAGAAAATGAAAGTGTATTTGATTTCATAGTAAGGCTTAATTTGTAATTACATGGTACTCTCAGTTCCACTTGATTAAGTCTCCTCTTTATATTTTTTATATTTATAAAGTTAATAGATCAAAACTTTCTGAATCTTCTATTCAATTCAACTATTTTCTTCATACTGCTTTACAATGAGATATCAAATAAAAAGGAAAGATGACAGACACAATTTTACACATAATTTCTACTCTGTTGTAAATAATTACAAAACGGTACAGTGCTGTGTTTAAGAATCTGTATTTCATATTGTAGTGTGTCCAAACAGAAGCGACAGAACAGCTGGTTTGAGAAGGCGTCCAAGGAGGTGGACATAGACCTGGATGAGACTCTGTATCCTTGTGTTACTATGGTTACACTGTTAGTGTAACTGAGGGACAAATGTGGATGTTTTTATGCACTCTACATATTATAAACGTACTCTTGGCATTACATATCCTAAAGAGATACATTTTTCATGCATAACAAGATGTAGTTTTCACACACTAGACATTACAAGAGGGCTTTCAAGTCAAATAACTCCTTAAATTTGGAGGGTTAGAACACATGTAAAAAATACTGGGTCTTTCAAATCCAAGAGTAAAACTTGATGGATTTTTTTATTTAGGGGTGGGGGGGGTGGGGTCAAAAATATGTTCGCAAGGATCAATTGAAAGCCCTGTCAGAAATACTACAACAATATCTTTTACTAACAAGACATTACAGATCTTATAAAGATGTCTTTTACAAACATTACAAATACTACAAAGAGATGTTGACACAGTCTGGAATGATGTAGGTTACTTTCTCTATGTTAAGTCCTGTGTCACTTGCACTAGTACAAGGATGTATGCTTACCACTGGAACAGAATTAAAAAGGAACAGAATTAAAAAATAACCTTGACCTTTGATCAGACTGAATGACCTTGGGGACTCACACTACCAGTCCACACAGAAGCAGCAAATTAAGTTCCTGAATGCAGAACTCAAGGCTCTGCTGAAGACATCAGTCATTCCGAAAAACTTTTCTGGGAAGTACCCAACAAGGACAGGACGCCTAGTGATACCCCACACCCAAGGTATGTACAGTAGATACCGCACACCCAAGGTATGTACAGTATATAAGGCCTAGTGATACCCCACACACAAGGTATGTACAGTATATAAGGCCTAGTGTTACCCCACACCCAAGGTATGTACAGTATATAAGGCCTAGTGATAACCCACACACAAGGTATGTACAGTATATAAGGCCTAGTGATACCCCACACCAAGGTATGTACAGTATATAAGGTCCAGGGATACCCCACACCTCAGGTATGTGCAGTATATAAGGCCTAGTGATACACCACACCCCAGGTATGTACAGTATATAAGGCCTAGTGATAACCCACACACAAGGTATGTACAGTATATAAGGCCTAGTGATACCCCACACCAAGGTATGTGCAGTATATAAGGCCAAGTGATACACCACACCCCAGGTATGTACAGTATATAAGGCCCAGGGATACCCCACACCTCAGGTATGTGCAGTATATAAGGCCTAGTGATACCCCACACCCAAGGTATGTACAATATATAAGGCCTAGTGATACCCCACATCCAAGGTATGTACAGTATATAAGACCTAGTGATGTCACACACCCAAGGTATGTACCAGTGATGTCCAACACCCGAGGTATGTACAATATATAAGGCCTAGCGATACCCCACACCCAAGGTATGTACAGTATATAAGGCTTAGTGATACCCCACACCCAAGGTATAGACAGTATATAAGGCCTAGTGATACCCCACACCCCAGGTGTGTACAGTATATAAGGCCTAGTGATACCCCACACCCAAGGTATGTACAGCATTTATGGCCTAGTTATGTACACTATATAAGACCTAGTGATACCCCACAACCAAGGTATGTACAGTATATAAGGCCTAGTGATTCCCCACCCCCAAGGTATGTACAGTATTTATGGCCTAGTTATGTACACTATATAAGACCTAGTGACACCCCAAAACCAAGGTTTGTACAGTATTTAGGGTCTAGTTATGTACAGTATATAAGACCTAGTGATACCCCACCCCCAAGGTATGTACAGTATATAAGACCTAGTGATCCCCCACACCCAAGGTATGTACAGTATTTATGGCCTTGTTATGTACAGTATATAAGGCCTAGTGATACCACACACCCAAGATATGTACAGTAGATACCCCACACCCAAGGTACGTACAGTATATAAGGCCTAGTGATAACCCACACCCCAGGTATGTACAGTATATAAGGCCTAGTGATACCCCACACCCAAGGTATGTACAGTATTTATGGCCTAGTTATGTACACTATATAAGACCTAGTGATACCCCAAAACCAAGGTTTGTACAGTATTTAGGGCCTAGTTATGTACAGTATATAAGACCTAGTGATACCCCACACCCAAGATATGTACAGTAGATACCCCACACCCAAGGTATGTACAGTATATAAGGCCTAGTGATAACCCACACCCCAGGTATGTACAGTATATACGGCCTAGTGATACCCCACACCCAAGACATGTACAGTATATAAGGCTTAGTGATAGCCCACACCCAAGGTATGTACAGTATATAAGGCCTAGTGATACCACACACACATGGTATGTACAGTATATAAGACCTAGTGATACCCCACACCCAAGGTATGTACAGTATTTATGGCCTAGTTATGTACAGTATATAAGACCTAGTGATACCCCACAACCAAGGTATGTACAGTATTTAAGGCCTAGTTATGTACAGTATATAAGACCTAGTGATACCCCACACCCAAGGTATGTACAGCATATTAGGATCAATTTATTTGTTATTTGGATAATTTGACTGTAGAAATAGTTAATAAACATAACATTTTGCATTTTCTTAATATGTTTATAATATTTCATTAAATCTATTTTAAGGTCCAGTAAATCTGTTAGTTACAATTAAGGGTGTAGTTTTGAGCCCAATCCGATTAAAATCATCTGTTACATTGCTTCTTTAACCTTTTACTTCCCTCAACATGTTCAGGCAATCTGATTAAAATCATATGTTACATGGCTTCGTTAACCTCGTACTACGCCTGGACGATGTTCAGGCGGAGACATGTAACAGATGATTTTAATCAGATTGCATGTTCGGGTGAAGTAGGATGTAAGTAAAGTCATCAAATAGATGATTGTAATCAGATTGTTTTTAGCCAGACTACATAGGATGTTATAAATGGATTACATTGTAAAAGATAATTTTCTTGGTTCTGAAAAGTTACACTCATATTTGTCAATATGATTTTTTACAGCTTTGACAAAAGATGCAATTGAGAATGTGAAAAATGACCGAAAGAGTCAACAGAAAATGATGGACAAAATACGAGTGGCCGCACTGACTGCTAAACCTGGGCCCGAGAAAAAGAAGAAAAAATGGAAAAAGAAATGGGGAAAATAAACTCTGTTATAAAATGTAGATTTTCTGTTTTCTGTGTCCTGTTTTGTATAAAATGTCGGAACTGATATTATGAGTTGTTTAGCACAAAGCATTCATTACAAATGTTTTAAAACTATTAAATGATTTGGGGCGTACGGACAATTAGACAGATTGTATGTAACTATTTTGAGTGAAGTGTTTACCATTCAAATAAGGAAAATGTTGAGTGAAACAGGGAATACAATTAATAGGTGGTCAATCATAAAAACAAAACAACTGCGTTAGTGACACTGCAATATTTGTTGAGATTGTACAATATCATTTTCACCCACGATATTGTTGAAACGTCTTGTCACATAATTCTTTTATCAATTTAAGTTCAGGATATGAGCTTGTAGCTGTTCAAAATGGGAGAAAAACTATCACATGTATCTTTTTAATCTTTAATCTACAATAAGTGAAAAATGTAAAGATAGAACCGATCAATTAGTTATCTGTTTAAACTACAGCGATATCTGTGTTAATTACAGTGATGCACACTTTGAAAATAATATACCACGGATTCAATCGATAAATTGTATTTCCCACGCCACATAACATTTTGTACCAGACCCATGTATTTTTGTACCGCTTCCGACCCTAATAGATAGTGAACCGCCCCATTACATGGTAATAACAACAAATAGCAAGGCACCATCAATGCATGACAGTCAAAGGACTCTACTATGTTTCAATAAAAATACAAGTGTCTCGCTTGTGAACAACATCAGAAAACGCCCAGTTTCTATATAGGTATATGTGAATATCTTCAGTAAAGTCCATTTTCGTCATGACCATGTGACGTTCTTTTTATAGGAATGATAACATCGTCCATCGTCTTCTACATCAATTCACAGGGAACTTTCAAATAATCTGCAGTTATTAATACCCGGCAGCAGATCCTCCACGTACCTGTATTCAATTGGTCTGTTTCAAGGAAATATGAAATAGAAAGTAGGCATTCTCGGAAGAAAAAAATTAACAGATCTGGCGATAAATTTAACGACATCACAAGTCCAATGGTCGCGTGTTAATCTGTAAATAATTTGTGACATAATGAACACCGACTAGGCCTAACGAAGTGTTGTTTTACACAAAAACAAAAGATCCCGAAATACTGAGGGTCCACTTACACCGATGGCTAAGTATAACAAGTTCTAATTGTAACAGAAACCGTCAGATAATATATGTGTATTTAATATACTAAACTAAACTTGCGATAACGTCTGTGTAGGCCCCGGCAATTAGACACAGGTTATTTTAGATGCGTTATCATAATCGGACAAAACAGGCCATAGGTATTGCGGCATAATCTCGGGTTAGACCGTCAAAGGATTTCCTCGCCGGGTGGAGACTTCTCTGTCTTATTGTTCTTATCCTAGGGAAAAAAACGGGACGACCCCCCGTCATAACAATTATATGACGTCACGTCATCATAGTAGCCATTTTCGTCATTTTGCTTTTGCATGTTTTAGTCTTATCAAAATTCTTTATTTCGTTTATCTCCTGGAATGCTTTCGCGGGCGACAAAGCTACGAGGTTGGAAAACTACCGAGAAATTTGAATAACCTTGACTTGGTTTGGGTAGAGAGCGTTATTCCCTCCGTAACTCCGGTTGTTACCGTCAGTAGACATAGGAAACTATCAGGACTTAGTTGATGCTTTAACTGGGGAGGCTCTCTCTTTAGGTAACTGTTCTCTGGTTACTATAAAACAGAACAATCTTTTAACATCAGTGATTAAAATGAATTGGGCCGCATGCCGTAAAAGAATATTGAATGTTTGCTTTTTAGGGAACACTGTTTCTGAAACTAGTCCCTCCTATCAGTCATTTTATTTTGTTTTACAAACAAACATTAAGCTCGATCATATTCATATAAATATGTGATGCATTCACTATGGAAAGTGAAGATGGCGCCAGGAATCGAACATCTAATAACCAGCGAATCGGAATCTGGACACCTTTCGTTTAGTGTTAGTCCCAAGTTTTCTTTCATCCTTACGTTCCAACTTACAAGTAATTTAAAATGATAGAGACAGATTCAGGTCAGCCGTATAGAGGAAACAAATGGACGATGTGCAAGGTCGAAAATTCAACAGCTTACTGCGGACAAGAGTGAATAAATAAGATTCACGGATTTGTTTTCGTTTTAACGCCTTGTGTTATGATGATACTTTACCGAATTACTCTGACAAGGATTTGTGACAGGCTCACATATTTATCTAAAATACAATTTACATTATAGGCATCCGGATAAGAATTCAAATTAGTATTTCTAGCAAGTATATCCTCCTGGAATGCTCCCAACCTTTCTTAGGCTATATTTGGACTTTCTTGTGCAGGGTCTTGAGCTACAATGCTTAGAGCTCATGTTGTTTTACTGTTTCAGTGAGGATACCGCTGTCTGTCGTTGCTGTCACATGTGGATCCTCTACTCTTCGTTGACTTCTGGTTATGTAGCCGTCCTCTGTCATCCTTTTCTGATAATCTACATCACTTTCGTAGAATAATAGAAGTTGTCGGCTGTCAATGCTGTTGATTCTTCATCAACCCCATTTTGTTCGTTGACGTCTAGCTTATAGTTCTCGAGGTTTGCTGTAACTTTGATGGATTTTTTTGAATTTTTTTTTTTTTGAGTTGTGGCGTGGTTCCTTCTTTAAAAAGTTTACTCATTATTAATTTGAAATTAACCAGTACTCCGCTAATTTTTTAAATTCATGTTATTCAGGTGCTTATGTACCCCTTCTTCTGTTTTGTAACAGCTAAGGAATATGAGTGTTAAATACAAGCTAGCTTTTCAAGTGATGCGGTATAACCCGGGGACCCGCTCAATAGTTCAGCAATGTCGAGCGTGGTCAGTAGTTGGATGGGTGACCGCCCGCACGTTACAATTGGTGGCAGCGGTGGGATTCAAACCCTAGCCTCAGAGAGACTGGTATCCGCCTTTTTGACCCATACCATCACCGATGAGTTCTAGAAGGATTAAAAAGCTATAGGGTGCAGTGCAATTCATTTTTGGCATGCTGTAATCTATCTATTACCAAATTTATAGGAGCAATCACGTTTGGTGTATTACGTTTATCTTTCAGAATACAAGGTACTAGATATGCGGATGGATTTCATAGTCCCCGGGCTTAAGGTTTACCGTAACTTTGTTGGCCAAATTGATCTCTTTCGAGTAATGGTACGGTTCATATTATGGACACTGTACTCATTATTGATTCGAAATTTGCCAGAAATGCTCGGTTTGTTTTTTAATTCATATAATTAAGATGGTTACGCACTTTCCCTTTTGTTTCAACAGTAGATTAGACCAGTTTGGATTGCCATTTTTTGGCCCCTAGCATGACCAATAAGTCCTAGAAGCATGAAAGAGCTGTATACTGCAGTGTTACCAACGTTTTCAGGTGCAATCACGGATGTGCCTTATGTTCATCTTTTAAGAGTCTCTGGTATCGACGCCTAGTGTTCCTCCAGTACAGATTCGTCTTTTGGTCAGATTGATGACGTGGTATCATGTCGGATATATCAGGAATAACTGCTTATATTTGCCATCGTATGGCATTGCAACTATATAACCCTACACAATTCAGTTGGCATTCAAGTTGGCTATGAATGCCATGGATCGATTGTTGACGTCATCATTATAATGACGTCATAATTGTTACGTTGGATACCACTGACCCTCCCTGGGCGAAGGCTGTTCTATTAATTGAACAAGCATACACGATAAATACATAATTTTTACTAAATGTTGAATAATAGTAAATGTTATTGATGAACAGATTCCAAATCGGTAAATATAAGTATTGAACTGCTTTCAGTTGGCATTCAAAGGAAAAATGGACTCCAACTGGACAAAGGCAAATCCAACATGAAGCGCGCTAAGATTCGTCTTTTGGTCAGATTGTCAACGTGGTATCATGTCGGATATATCAGGAATAACTGCTTGTAAATAACAACCAATATTCATGACATTAAGTAATATCCGGGGAAATGTATACCATTGTTTGTTAGGAAAAAACCACCCGGTGTTGTGGTTTTTTTATTTTTATTTTTTTTATCAAATAGTGATATATATTTTACAAACCATTCCCTCTATTTTCAGTTTATTGTTGACAGTTTAAGTTTGTTAAATATTAGGAATTATCCAGGGATAAATCCTTAACAGACTTGAATACAAAATATCGATGTGTAACGAACCGTCACAGTGCAGTATTTGTTAGGATAGTGCAATATCCTCTTTAAACAACCTTTGTTTTGAAACAACGTAATTGTCGATTTGTAATTTTTTTGCATCAATTTATTTCTTGTGTAATAAGTTATCCAGTAACTCTCCAATAAATGAGACAAATCAATTTATTTGTCAAGTCTACAATGACACAGAAAAAAACAGCCGAAGAAATTGTTCGAAAGAAACGATTACGATTACTTGTACTAGAAAATACGTCATTCTGTACCGTTTCTGACCGCCAGTAAACATTGTTTCGCTCCTTCCCAAGGCAGGATGTTACTTGCTCATAATATGAGGAAGTAACATCCTGCCTAATTATGACCATGGCTGTTGCGGGAACGTTAAACCTATGCTTGTCCGTTGTAACATGACACTTTACAAATAGCAATTAACGATCTATATACGGCAATGAGTCAATGTACTCGGTTTGAATGTATTTTTACATTTGACTGTCATACGCCAATACTATATACATTGAAAATCTTGCATATCTATTTTGTGGAAAAGCTTAAGACATAATGTTAGCAATGATCAAATCCAGAACACGTGCAATCTCCATGCTTGTCTGTCTATCTGTCCCTTGTAGTCATGGGTACATGGACATAACACGTTCGTCGCGGGAATTACCGCTACAAAAATACATGTCCATGGTGATCATGTAATGTTCTATTTATAACCTATTCACTGGGGAGTTTCAAATGATATCATATCAACAGGTAATAATTATTAACAGATAATCAACGTACCTGCATTCTATTGGTCCGATTCGCAGAAAAAATGAAAGGTTTCGCTGTTCAAAGGGATCAAACTGTTAATGCTCTTTTGCCAGTGTAAAAAGGTTAATTGTATAATGCATGCTTTGTATGAATAATTTGTTGTATAATGCATGCTCTTTGTAAAACACTTGCTTTATAAAGCATGATAAGAGTAAATTATTTCATATATCATATGCATTCTTAGTGTTAATTTTTCGCTAAGGATATAATGCATTGTTTAAATAAATCGTTATACATTATTAAAACATGTTTAAATTAACATACAAAATAAATATCCGACTATCGAGGTTCCACTTACACAGAAATGATAAGTATAAATACTAACAAGGTTCAATTGCCTGTATGTATGAATAAAAACTTAACACCACGTTAGTATGAAACAGGTTTATTATGAGGAAATGAAAGATACCAGCTCATTGGACCTGGATAATGAACATGTTGAGTGTTGAAATGTACAAAAGTAATGACACGCTACATCAAGTACAATGGAAGCAACGTATTTATTGTGTTATTTTGATTAAAACACACCTTTTTATATTTCCATTGACCGTTTGCACAGTAATAGAAATACGTTACTAAGATCAAACAACATAAACGAGTCTAACATCAATGTCCATACCAGCGATCTGTCACACACTATTGGACGTGCGTTGTCATAATCAGACAAAATAAACCATTTTGTGAGCATTGTCTGGATATACACTGATGGACTGCACAGTTTAAAGTAACGATGATTTTCAAGAACTAGAACTTGAGTCGGAAATAAACGTTCCTCGTAACTTGCTTCACTCTGGAACACGTGACCATTTAGAGAAATGGGAAAAGTACCTCCATACCTTTTCGCTTCCTACCGGATTCGGAGATGTGACGGCGGGTTGCAGAAAACAGGCTCGTTTCGTTCCCGCTAGCCTCTGAATGATACGTGAACGTATTTCAGTTGTTTTCTCCCTAATTCTGGTTGTGGAGAAAACCGAAGTTGCTTTCCACATTAGTTTGATACAAATATAGTATCTCAACGACTCGGGATCAAGACTACCAGAAAACTGGAATAAACCTGACTTGGAGTGACTCCTATCCGTCCCCACCAGAAGACAGCTCTGTTTCTACTGTCTTTACTCCGGTTGTGAACCCCGGGTAAGTCGGATACTCCAATATGGTAACTCCGGTTGTAAATGTCTGCACCATCTTGAGTTGCATTACACATTTTTCCGATGCTGTAACTCAGGTTGTGAACGACGGGAGAGTTCGGATTTGCATTCCGTAAAACTTTCCGATATGGTAACTCGGTTGTAAATGCCTGGATCATCTGGAGTTGCATTACGCATTTCTCCGATACTGTAACTCAGGTTGTGAACGACGGGAGAGTTCGGATTTGCATTTCGCAAATGTTTCTCATATGGAGACTCCGGTTGGCAATGCCTTGCTCATCTGAAGTTGCATCCCGCTGAACCCTAAGCAGGATCACTAGGACTAAGTTGATTCTAATGATCATGATATGGTGTGTGACTTTATGACTAACCATACAGCAGTGTCATCCACTGGGGAGGGTCTCTCTTTACGATATGGTGTCCTGTCTTTCTCCTGAAAAACACAAAACACAAATATTCATTAATATTCACAACGCATATGAATTTCCCAATTCATTCACTTTATTTCATACAATTCATGCACTTGCCTTGAAAAATGTTAAAACCAATCAGTAATTTGAAATCTATAAGATACTGGGGAATTCCCGAGCTAGTCTCTCCTACGAGTAAGTTGTTTTACCTTATGCTCCTTTTAAAAGGTAATGATTTTTTTTAAAGTTTTAGTTTCCATTTTAGGGTTGGAACGTTGAAGTGTTCTCAAACGGACTTTTACACTTCGTGTGTAAATAACAATCTCATAAATATTCAAAGAGATATGCAATTCCTCAAGTATAGGCCGACTTAGAGTGAAATTGGCATTATAAATCGAACCAATACGTCACCTTACAGAGCTTAGTGAGAAATGCTGGACTATAGAAATCAAATGCGTAGTGTATATCATGTCGAAATTCTAACAGCTCATGTCGGCTAAAAGTAAAAGGATGCATTCTAAGGAATAGATATCTATGTTTTAATAACCAGAAATGACTTGCCATGGACCTTTCGCATGTCATTGCTTTACATGTAAACTAAATAGAGAATAACCATGATCTATCACCCCTACAAGTTGGGGAAGAGATACAAGAATAGACCTGCTGTTACCCACTGCATGATCGAAAGAGGAGACTAATACGGGGTTTTCGTCTGTGTCTTCTACTGAGAGGACATGCAAGACACCAACTTTGAGCTTCTTCCATCATTACAACACTTGGGATTGTCTTCATTCTTTTCTATCTACTTTTCCTTTCCGGCGATGTCTGCCTAGGATCCCAACCATATTTCGCCCTGACTGTTGCGAGGACGTTAACCAACAGACAAACAAACATAATCTGCATCAGGAGTTAGCCTTAAGATAAAGCTAAATCAAGTGAACCTACCTTGGAATATTCCACCTGTCTTTTCTTGCCGTTTCTTCGTCCGCATTTGGACTTTCTTGGTTATGGCTACGGTTCACCAAGCTTGGGACTCTCATGGTTTTCAGGGTTTTCGGTGAGCGGAGGACCCCGTCGGTTGTAGTCGCTGCCTCATGTACATCCTTTACTGATTGCTCGTTGACTACTGGTATGTAATCTTCGTCTGTCATCGTTACATCATTCTCTAAAATGCCTTCAAATATTTGGTCGTATGTCGTCATTATGGATGCGTCATCTTCTACTTTTCGTTTGTTGATTTCTAGTTTGTAAGTTTCGCCTGACACTGCTGCCTCATTGACTCTGTGAGTAAAATAACAAAAAAGTCTTCATTAAATTTAGGAACGATAAAATAGTTGGAAACGAGAAAACGATCAACTACTGACACACCAACAAACCAAAGGTAATTTGTTCATATAAGATTACACCATTTCGGATATTTTTCGTGAAGCATTGCTTACCTTTTTCTTCACCCCCCNGTATATTTGTACAATTGTACAGGGGAAAAGACCTTGAATATGTCCTAAATTACAGATTACACCACTTTAGAGTAAGATATCGTGCAATGTTTGGTTCGATGGTGCAATACCATTTATAACCACCTTAGTGTTGAAATATAGGTTTGTCCAAGGATTATGTTTTTAATCAATTGATTGTTTGTTTTAGTGATATATAATGAGCGAGCGATATCAATTTATTACACGTATAATCTAAATTGTTAGAGATATAATATATAGATTAAGCTACAGTTACACACAAACATTCTAGCGCTGAAAACCGTAGCTCAATGTCCTATTGGTTATGTTATCAGTCATACGTACTTTATCCAGCTTGTTAAATACTTCGACCTTGAGTGTTCACTTTTCAACTACATGCTTTGACATTAGACAAATCATTGTATTTCATTGGACATTTTCACGTCAGGCTTTCTACATTCTTCCAAATATTTACATAGAATAGTTAACAACAAATTGAACGGAAGTTTCTTATTTCAGTTTTTCTTTTAAAATGCATGTTTGAAGCAATAAAAAGTTCAGGTTCCATGCCATTTCGAACACATCCCGATCCCAAGTTAATATTATACCACCCTCATCAAGCAAGTATACTACTATTGTATGCCCTTATTTTGCATGAAAGTTAACGCATATCAATGCAGTATTTGCATAAGACATTTGGTCCATATACAGTTCTGAATTACTTTTTTATTTTTTCAAACGCCAAAAACCTAACCCGTTGAAATACTTACATGTATCTGGCCTGTGAAAAGCCTAGTATCATAATGGTAGCGATGCCCAGCCATAAAATATGTCCAGTCTCCATGCCTGCTTCTTTCTGTGTTCCCTGTAGGTTGGTTGGTTGGTTGAGGTGTTTTACGTCTACACTTCACTAACGAAGTCTTGTCTCTTGTAGACATGGGTACGCGTTTATATCATGCTCGCCAGTGGAATTCCCGCTACCAAAATAGATCATCGTGATAATCTTATTCTATTCTATTTATAACTTCTTGATTGGGGAGTGTCAAACGATAACATAACAACAAGTATAAGAAAGTCCACGTACCTGTTTGCTATTGGTCCGTTTCGTGAAAATATAAAACAGAAAGTAGTTATTCTAAGAAAAAATCACAAGCAGTTTCATTTCGGACGGTAAACTAAATTACTAGATAGCCTTAGTTTATTATTTAGTTGTAAATATTTCTTAATGCTTCGTGACAATCTTTCATTATACAATACATGCGAGTATATGTAAATAAGAAATATCAACAATTTGAAGAAAATTTACCGTTCAAACATTTGACTGACTAAACAATGACAAGGACAAAGACTTCATTATCATAAACACTACTCACAGTGTAAAGAATTTATAAACAAACATTTCTAAAACAAAATCTTAGTGTATATGTCTTTATGTATGTACATGGCATTGTTTTAAATGTCTGCTTATACAATATACATATACATGTTTGCGCTTACAAGTTTAAATACAAGTTAACAAAACTGATCATGATGATGATATCAGATGACGATGGATACGATCATGATGATGATGATGATTATGATGATGATAATTATGATGATGATGATGATAATGATGATGATGATGATAATTATGATGATGATGATGATGATGATGATGATGATGATGATGATGATGATGATGATGATGATGATGATGATGATGATGATGATGATGATGACGATAATTATGATGATGATGATGATGATGATGATGATGATGATGATGATGATGATGCTCACAAGATTTTAAGAGTAAATTGTAGTTTATTATTTATAATTAACTTTGTTTGTAAACAGCCATTTGTTTATATGTCATGTGCAACATTGTTGATTTTTAAGTTTTTAGGTGTGTTAGAGATACATGTGGATGAATATCATATATATATATATTATCTTAGTACCAGCATGTGTACCAAAATTTAGGTAAACGTAATGCTGTCAGGTTCTATTTATAGATACAGAACAAAGAACATAGCTCAACAGTCTCCTACACTCTTCTTACACGTGATAATATGGTAATAATTATATTAGGGATGATGCTGATTGGCTTAAGTTATCACTAGGCAGGTCAAGGTTAATTACCATTGGTCAAGCGGTTAGCCACGCATAATTAATTAATGTTTTAAGAAACTATCGGAGCGTGCAGACGCATTTTACATCAGCTTACCGTCATCCACCCCAACCTCCAACTTATAATTATTACAGTGTTCTTGAGTAAATTATTTACATACATATGCAAGTGTACCAAGGAGTACAGTAGCATAAGTAAACGGAGCAATTCGTGTTGTTAAATGTAATTTTATTGAATGATGAAAGAGCAGACACAAGTCGCATAGAGTGAAGTCATATACAGATGTACATATACTTGTATATTTATTCAAATGTTATAGTACTGGGGCTATACCATGGTAGGGTATAGGGAATACAGATCAGAGGTATAAACTATGGGAGTTACAGGAGGTGCACAACACATATGTTGTTGTATTCAGCCCCCATGTTAATATACAGTTATACCTACATAATAAGGTGCCTATAAGTTATAATTAGGTATCCTATAGATCCAGGATTTTTTAACAACGATGAATCCTCTCATGGGATTGGTACAGCATGGGCTAACGGGGCCCATGTGTCCGATCCAGGATTCAGGAAATATCCTCTCATGGGATCTATATCCAGAAAATTAGATCTAGATATCATACGGACCCAGGAATTTCCTGATCAGATATCCTCTCATGGGATCCAGGTATATGAGCTACTCATCATGTCTGGATCCAGGATTGTCAGAAATATCCTCTCATTGGGGTCCGTCTTTTGATAATGGGAAATCTCATCCAGCCGTTGGAACCAAGGGCGACCGTTTCGCTCCTGGGGGATATATTGGCAGTACTCCTGGGACAAGGGGTGAAAGTTCCTTCCTGGTAGGATAACGTCGTCAGTAATCCGTGAGATTTCCATAGCTTATATATGTGTAGTATGATATAGCCCCCAAGGCCAAACCTTAAATGTAGATGATCATGAAATGTATATATTTGTGTATTGTTTATTTCTTCTGTTATGTGTATAAATATGTGTATGCTGATGTATAATACATATACAACAATGTTGGTCATGATAACATTGCATACCTATACAGTAAATAAATAGCATTTATTAAGCTGTATCATATTGTTCTGGTTGTTTATAAATGTGTGAGTGTGAAAAAAATCGTTTGTATGAAATATTTTGAGAGTTGAATATCAATACATATTTATTAATATTCCAAACAAAAATTCTGATAACGTCTGTGTTGATTAGGCGCGATGTAACAATAGGACAAAAAAGGTAGATGGGCTGCACTGTTCAAAGCAATGAAGACTAGAACAAGGTTAGGAAAACTACCGGAAATTGGAATAACCTTGACTTGGGCGACTACTTTATCCCCAACAATAAAGAAAGAATTAAGTCCCCCTCCCTCCGTAACTTCGGTTGTAGAATTTTGAGTTGCTTCATCAAGTCTTATAAACATAATCATCAGGATTTAGTTGATGCTTTTTGACTGACCATACAACCGTGTCATCAAATCGGGATGCTCTCTCTCTTTAGAATGCTGTTTCTTCTCTGGTTATTATACAGAACAATTTTTAACATCCGTAACTGATATGAAGCCGCATGCCGTAAAAGAATAACACATTGCCTTCACTATGGGAAGACTTTCAGCAAATATATCTACCTTGAATGCTCCAGACATTTCTTAGACTACATTTGGACTTTATTGAGAAAAATCTCGAATGACAATGCTCCATGAGCTCACGTGGTTTTACAGTTTTCAATGAGCAGAGGATACCGCCGACCGTCGTTGCTACAATATGCGGATCCTCTGCTCTTCGTTCTACTGGTTAAGTAGCCGCCCTTTGCCATCATTTTCTGATCAGCTACAACACATTAGTAGAACAATGATAGCTGTCGGCTGTCATTGCTGTTGATGCTTCATCAACCCCATTTCTTTCTTTGACGTCTAGTGTGTATTCCCCGAGGTTTGCTGTAACTTTAATGGCAATACTTATCTTTTTTTAGTAGTGGTGCGGTTCTTGCTATAAAAAGTGTACTCATTATCATTTTTAAATTAACCAGCACATTTTTGAAATTGATGTAATTCAGGGGTTTATGCACTCCTCTTCTGTTTCTACTGTAGGTTAGTTCAAATTGGATTTCCGCCTTTTTGACCCATACCATCACCGATGAGTTCTAGAAGGACTAAAAAGCTATAGGGTGCAGTGTTATTAATTTTTGGTATGCTGTAGGCTATTTATTACCACATTAATTGTTAAGGTGTTCAGACTCTGCGGATGGATTTCATTGTCCTTAGGCTTAAGGTTTACATAACTTTGTTGGCCAAATTGATCTCTTTCGAGTAATTGTACGGTTCATAATATAGACATTACTCATTATTGATGTATACACGTCACTTGAATATTCCAAATTTTAAATTGCTTTGTCTAACCAGCCGTTCATACGAAACTTTTTTTTTGGTAAATCCCCCCTGGTGTTTGAAATTTATTTAATCAAGATGGTTTACGCAGTTTCACTTTTGTTTCAACAACAGATTAGACCAATTTTAATTGCCATCCTTTTTGGCCCCTAGCATCACCAATGAGTCCTAGAAGCATGGAAGAGCTGTATACTGCAGTGTTATCAACGTTTTCAGGTGCAACCACGGGTGTGTCTTTTCTTTTAAGAGTCTCTGGTATCAATGACTTCTGTTCATCCAGTACAGATTCATCTTTTGGTCGGATTAATGACGTGGTATCATGTCGAATATATCAGGAATTACTGCTTGTAAATAACAACCAAAATATTCATGACATTAACATATCCGGGGAGATATATACCATTGTTTGTTTGAAAAATGCAGCTGTTTTTTTGTGTTTTTTGTTTTATCAAATAGTGATATATATTTTAAAAACCATTCCCTCTCATTTCTGTTTATTGTTGACAGTTTAAATTTGTTAAATATTAGGAATTATCCAGGGGTAAATCCTGAACAGACTTGAATATAAAATATCACTGTGTTACGAACCACCATGTATTTGTTAGGATAGTGCAATATCGTCTTTAAACAATCTTTATTTTGAAACGTAATTGTCGATTTGTATTTTATTGCATCAATTTATTTATTGCGTGATAAGTTATGAATTAGATTCAGTAACTCCTTAATAAATTAGACGAATAAATGTATGTGTCAAGTCTACAGTGACAAACAGGAAAAAAACAGTGGATAAAATAGTTCGAAAGAAACGATTTCATGTACTAAAAAATACGTCGGAAGGAATGAAGTGTTAAAATGTACCCATCCCATGTCATTTTGTACCGGTTCTGACCGCCAGTGAACATTGTTTCGCTCCTTCCCAAGGCAGTATGTTACGTCCTTATATGACCCTGGCTGTTACGTGGTCGTTATACCACAAACAGACAAGACAGTAGGTATAATACGTGTCCGTTGTAGCATAAAACTGTACAAATAGCAATTAACGATCTATATACGGCTATGAGTCAATGTACTCGGTTTGAATGCATTTTTACATTTGACTGTCATACGCCAATACTTTATATATTGAAAATCTTGAATATATATTTTGTGGAAAAGTTTAAGACATAATGTTAGCAATGATCAAATCCAGAACACGTGCAATCTCCACGTTGATCACGGGAATAACCGCTACCAAAATACATGTCCTTGGTGATCATGTGACGTTCTATTTATAACCTATTCACTGGGGAGTTTCAAATGATATAATTATAGTAAAATAATAATATACAACATTTATATAGCGCCCTATATAATTTGTAAAATTACTCTAAATCGCTTTACAACATATGGATAATAGTAATGCTTATAATTGTGAAAACAAAACACAAATGCTTACAATCACTTTTATACAGTTAAGCAAGCAATGTGCACACAATTGAACAAATAAATGGTGGTATTTACATGACGTCTTTGCAAGGATTCTAAAATGCAGACGTGAAGAGGTGAGTTTTGATGTCCCTCTTGAACTTGGCAAGAGTATTTGACTTTCTAATAGCAGATGGTAAGCTATTCCACAACGTAGTCGAAACCCTCCCAAAGCCTCTGTTTCCGTAGGTCACAGTACGAGATTTTGGGACACACAACAAAGATTCTGACTCCGACTGCCGTGATCGTGACGGCTGGTACAGGGTAACAAGCTCCTGTAGGTACTGATGAGCTGGTCCAATCAGCGTTTTGTATGTGTACACCAGAATTTTGTACATCATATCAACAGGTGATAATCATTAACAGATAATCAACGTACCTGCATTATATTGGTCCGCAGAAAACATGAAAGGGAAAGTAGTTTTTCTAAGAAAAATCACCAACACAAAAGAAATGCAGTTTCATTTTATACATCAGCTGTTATTACACAAAAATCAAAGCGAATAAAGGCATTTCGCTGTTCAAAGAGATCATTACGGTTAATACTTAGGTTTAACAGTAGTGAAATTGTCCAAGGTTGTATCTCAGACCAGTTACCGACGGGTTGGCAGTTTGAACCGTTATTTAATTTTAACATAATTACTTAATCAATTTCATTGTAATAGTGATATTATTTTTCTATTCAATTTAACATTAAGAAGTTATAATTCACTAAATATTTGTAATATAGCATTTTCCAAGTTTGTTTAGCTACAATTTAGATTCGAATTCAATAACAATATATCATGCATTGTTATTATACAGCTATAAATAGAACAATCGGATGAGACAAATGTCACATATTTTCAATTTGCTTATATCACTTCTTTGTCTGTTATTAAATAAGCAAATTCTATCAGAATACTTTGAAACAGTTTAAAAAAGTATCAAATTTATCTTTTAGTTCAACATCAGAGCGGTGACCAAAGAAAACTGATAACTTAAACACGGTGAAATTTCTGCAAATTTAAGTTGGTATGTATGGACAACGTACATGATTTTCACATTCTCGTCCGCTAAATGTAAGTTTTTCCCCTAATGGAGTCGGGGAGGTGGGGTGGGGTGGGGGNATTGAAACCTGTTTAAAGTAATTTCATAGTAGATTCTTATAATAGTTAGTTCTGTCTGACATCAATAGCTTTGCAAGGTATTTGCCTGCTAGACAGTTTCCTATGAACGGCTTGTTTCACAATGCATTACAAAAGTGGGAAAATCAAGCGACGTTTTTACATTTTTTCGTTAAAACAAAATATTTCTATCAAGTTAATTTATATGTGGTGTCGAATTTCTTTCTACAGTAAGCCGAATACTGGTTCAGTCCCTATTCCCTCATGTTGTCAAGATTGATCAAAACAACGTATTAACCTAACTGTTGTCACTTCTGTAAATAGACAGGCTAAAACACATTTCTGCAGTACTACTATCACAACAGGGAAACCACATTCCCATTGCTTCATTGTCTCAGTACTTTGATTGGATTTAAGTTTACATGGCAGTCGGCCAATGCACCTGGTTTAAATTTTAATGTTTGGCAATCAAACACCAATACTTTGTATTGAAGTGCACGTGTGCAAGTTATTCGGTTTATATAATGCATGGTGAGTAAAGTGTGAGTAACTTTCGTTTTCATAAGGCAAGCGAAGTCCTGGTATTAATATTGTATAATCATATAATAATCTTTTGCAAGTGTAAAAAGGTTAATTGTATACTATAGTAATGCATGCTTTGTATGAATAATTTGTTGTATAATGCATGCTCTTTGTAAATCACTTGCTTTATAAAGCATGATAAGAGTAAATTAGTTCATATATCATAAGCATGCCTAGTGTTAATTTTTCGCTATAGCTTTAATGCATTGTTAGTGCTCACTTAGTGTAAACTTTTCTTTATATTTACAAAGTATGTTTTATGTAAAATATTCTCCATGTTTTTAAAACATGCTTAGTGTATTTAAATACATCGTTATACATTATTGAAACATGTGTCAATTAACATACAAACAAAAGATATCCGACTATCGATGTTTAACTTACACAGAACTGATTAGTATAAATACTAACAAGGTTCAATTGCCTGTATGTATGAATTGAAAACTAAACACCATCTTAGTATGAAACTGTTTTATTATGAGGATATGAAAGATACCAGCTCATTGGACCTGAATAGGATGTGCTTTTAATGAATATACCGAGTTTTATAATGTACAAAACAATGACACGCTACATTGAGCACACTGCGATCAACGTTTTGTGTTAATTTTAATTAAAACGCACCTTTTTATATTTCCATTGACCATTTGCACAGTAATAGAAACACGTTACTAAGATCAAATAACATAAACGAGTCTAACTTCTGTGTCCATACAAGCGATCTGACACACGCTATTGGAGGTGCGTTGTCATAATCAGACAAAATAAACTGTTGGTTGTGTCGGAGCATTGTCTGGATATACACTGATGGGCTGCATAGTTCAAAGTAACGACGATTAGCACTAGGACTAGAACTTGAGTCGGAAATAAACGTTCCTCGTAACTTGCTTCACTCTGGAACACGTGACCATTTAGAGAAATGGACCACGTACCCTCCATAACTCTTTGCTTCCTACAGGACTACAGGAGATATGACGACGGGTTTTAAAAAACGGGCTTGTTTCCATTCCCGCTAGATTCTCACTGATATACGAACGTATTGCAGTTATTTCCTCCCTAATTCTGGGTTTAAAGAAAATCGAAGCTGCTTCCCATATTCGTCTGATACAAATTTGGTTTCGACTCGGGATCAAGACTACCAGAAAACTGGAACAAAACTGACTTGGAGTGACTCCTATCCGTCTCTAAAAGAGAAAAGCTCTGTTTCTACTGCCTTGACTCCAGTTGTGAACCCCGGGTAAGTCGGATACTCCAATATGGTAACTCCGATTGTAAATGCCTGCATCATCTGAAGTTGGATTACCTGTAACTCAGGTTGTGAACGCCGGGAGTGTTCGGATTTGCATTCCTTAAAACTTTCCGATATGGTAACCCGGTTGTAAATGCATGGATCATCTGGAGTTGCATTACGCATTTCTCCGGTGCTGTAACTCAGGTTGTGAACTATGGGAGAGTTCGGATTTGTATTTCGCAAATCTTTCCGATATGGATACTCCGGTTGGCAATGCCTTACTCATCTGGAGTTGCATTCCGCTGAACCCTAAACAGGATCACTAGGACTAAGTTGATTCTAATGATCATGAGATGGTGTGTGACTTTATGACCAACCATACAGCAGTGTCTCCCACTGATGAAGGTCTCTCTTTCCAATCATGTGTCTTGTCTTGCACCTGAAAAACACAAAACACAAATGTTCATTAATATTCACAACGCATATGAATTCCCTATTCATATACTTCATTTCATACAATTTATAACCAATCAGTTAATTAAATCTATAAAGTACTGGATAATTCAAGAGCTAGTCTCTCCTACCAGTAAGATGGTTTACCGTATGTCACTACTTTTAAAAGGTAATGATTTTATTTTAAGATTTATTTTCCATTTAAGGATTGAAACAGTGAGTGTTCTCAAACGAACGTTTACACGCGCAATAAATAACAATCTCATAGTTATTCACAGAGATATGCAATCCTTCTAGGTTAGGCCATTCAATATTTCCAGGATAGGCCGACTTTGAGTGAAGCATTACAAATCGAACCAATACTTGATTATCAGCAGACCGGTTACTGGACACCTTACGAACGGTATAACTTAGTGTTTCTCTCACCATAACACTCTCACCGATGTAGTTCAAAGCTTAGTGAGAAATTTACGGACTAAAGAAATAAAATGCATAGTGTATATAATGTCGAAATTCTAATAGCTAATGTTGGCCAAAAGTAATAGGATACATTGTAAGGAATAGATATTTATTGGTTAATAGCCAGAAATGACTTGCCATGGACCTATCATATTTCACGTTATTGATATAGAGAATCTTAGTTTAGGTCCAAATATAGCTGTAACAAATTGTCTGGTCCCTGTGCCTGGCTAACTACGAGGACGTTAACCCACAAACAAACAAAACCATCATCGGTACCGCGAGTTAGACCTCAAATAAGGCTATATCAAGTGTACCTACCTTGGAATATTTGACCTGTCTGTTCTTGCCGTTTCTTTATCCGCAGTTGGACTTTCTGGCTCATGGCTAAGGTCCGCCAAGCTAGAGACTATCGTGTTTTTTTTTATGGTTTTTGGTGTTCGGAGAACCCCGTCGTCTGTCGTCGCTGCCTCATGTTCATCCTCTACTGATTGTTCGTTGACTACTGGTATGTTATCGTCGTCTGTCATCGTTTCATCATTCTCTACAGTGCTTTCATATACGATTAATATTTGGTCGTATGTCGTCAATATGGATGCGTCATCTTCTACTTTTTGTTTGTTGATTTCAAGTTTGTAAGTGTCGCCTGTCACCGCTAACTTATTTTTATCCTCTATAGATTTGTCTTTAATTCTGTGAGTGAAATAACAAAAAAATGTTAATCAGATTTGGCAAAGAACAAACAATGGAAAACGAGAAAGCAATTCATTCATGACACACCAACAAACCAAAGGTAAATTGTTCATATAAGATGACATTATTTCGCATATTTATCGTGAAGCATTGCTTACCTTTTCTACACCCACAACACCCTTCCCCACCCCATTACCCACCAAACCAACCAGACATCTGTACCTTTTATTCACAACTATGGAAACATATATTTTTTTCAAAAGCAATTACCCCATTTTTGAGTTAATCAATAAACATTCAAATTGGGAAATAGTATATCGCAAAGGATTTAAAAACAATTACAGGGGAAAAGACCTTAAATATGTCCTGAATTAGAAATGAAATCACTGCTGGGTAAGGTACTGTGCAATGTTTGGTTCGATGGTGCAATACCATTTATAACCACCTCAGTGTTGAAATATGTTTTTCCAAGGATTATTTTTTTAATCAATTTATTGTTTATTTTAGTGTTAGATATACGCCATTGACTTTCCAATGAGGGAGGATTATTAATTTATTACGTCTAAATTGTGAGACACACAACAAAAATATCCAGAACTGGAAACCGTAGCTCAATGTAAAATTGGTCATGTCATCGGCAATACGTATTCTATTTAGCTTGTTAAAAACTTCTACCTCGAGTGTTCGCTTTTCAATTACATGGTTTGACATTAGATATACCATTATGTTAGCCTATGTGCTTTCTTCCAAATATTCATGTTGAACAGTTCACAATGAATTGATGAAATTTTTCCTTTCAGTTTTTCGGTTAAAATACATGTTTGAAGCAGTACAAAATAAGTACCCGTTCAATGTCATTTTGAACATATCCCGATCCCAAGTAAATATTATATCACCCTTATTAAGTTAGTATTATTACAAGTGTATATCCGTTTTTGCATTAAAGCTAACAAATATCGATGACATTTGGTCAATATACAATTTTGAATTACTTAATGTTTTTGCCTGTCAAACGCCAAAAACTTAACCCGTTGAAATACTTACATGTATCTGACATGTGAAAAGTCTAGTATCATAATGGTAGCGATGACCAGCCATAAAACACGTCCAGTATCCATGCCTGACTCTGTGTGTTCCCTGTAGGTTGGTTGGTTGGTTGGTTGGTGTTTTACGTCTACACTTCACTAACGAAGTCTTGTCTCTTGTAGACATGGGTACACGTTTATATCATGCTCGCCAGTGGAATTTCCGCTACCAAAATAGATATTGTGACATTCTATTTATAACTTATGAAAAAAGACAGTCCACGTACCTGCTTGCTGTTGGTCCATTTCGTGGAAATATGAAACAGAAAGTAGTTATTCTAAGAAAATATCACAAGTAGTTTCATTTCGGACGGTAAACTAAAAGACTAGATAGTCTTAGATTATTATTTAGTTGTAAATATTTCTTTAAGCTTCGCGAAAATCTTTCATTATACAATACATTCGAGTATATGTAACTAAGAAATATCAACAATTGTTGATGTATTTTTGAAGAAAAATGTCCGTTCAAACATTTGACTGACTAAACAATGACAAGGACAAAGACTTTATTATCATAAACACTACTTACAGTGTAAAGAATTTCTATCCAAACATCTTAGTGTATATGTCTTTATATATGTACATGGCATTGTTTTTAATGTCTGCTTAAACAATATACATATACATGTTTGCGCTTACAAGTTTAAATACAAGTTTACAAAACTGATCATGATGATGATATCAGATGACGTGGGATACGATCATGATGATGATGATGATGATGATGATGATCCCGAAACAGTTTAAATGAATAAGAGGAAAGACACAAAAATGGTAAAAAGCACTTCAAAAGTAGAATGTTCGTTAAATTCTAACGAGTATTATGTGCATGCACGAATTCAAAACTAAACACCATCGCTTGTATGAAATATTTTGAGAGTTGATTATCAAATACATATTTTTTAATATTCCAAACTAAACCTCCGATAACATCTGTGTTGATCCCGGCAATTATACACTGGTTATTGTAGATGCGTTGTAACAATAGGACAACACAGGTAGATTGGCTGCACTGTTCAAAGCAATGAAGACTTTTCAAGAACTAGAACAAGGTTAGGAAAACTACCGGAAATTGGAATAACCTTGACTTGGAGCGACTACTTTATCACCAACACTAAAGAAAGAATTAGGCCCCTCCCTCCGTAACTCCGGTTGTAGAATGTTAAGTTGCTTCATCAAGACTTATATGCATACTCGTCAGGACTAAGTTGATACTGTTTGACTGACCGTACAACCGTGTCTTCAAATCGGGACGCTCTCTCTTAAGGATGCGGTTTCTTCTCTGGTTCCTATCCAGAACAATTATTAACATCCGTAACTGATACGAAGCCGCATGCCGTAAAGGATCAACAAAGTGACCGATTGTTTTTATATTTTAAATGCGAATCACGTCTGTGTGTGTGAGTGTGTGTGTGTGTGTGTGTGTGTGTGACGTTCATATTTAGAGAATGCTATATCTGAAACGAGTCCCTCATACTATATTTCCTTCACTATGGGAAGACCTCTAGCAAATAAATCTATCTTAAATGCTCCAGACATTTCTATATTTGGACTTTCTTAAGAAGAATCTAGAATTACAATGCTCCATGAGCTCACGTGGTTTTGCAGTTTTCAATGAGCAGATTACACCGCCGTCTATCGTTGCTGCCACATGTGAATCCTCGTCTCTTCGTTCTACTGGTTACGTAGCCGCCCTTTGCCATCATTTTCTGTTCAGCTTCATCACATTGGTAGAATAATGGTAGTTGTCGGCTGTCATTGCTGTTGATGCTTCATCAACCCCATTTTGTTCTTAGACGTCTAGTGTGTAGTCCCCAAGGTTTGCTGTTACTTTTATGGCAATATTTATCTTTTTTTTTTTTTAAATTCATGTCATTCAGGGGCGTATGCACTGCTCTTCTGTTTCTACTGTAGGTAAGACCAATTTGGATTTCCGCGATTTTGACCCATACCATCACCGATGAGTCCTGGAAGGTCTTAAAAGCTATATGGTGCAGTGTAATTCATTTTTGGCATGCTGTAGGCTATATATTACCAAATTAATTGGTGCAATCGAGTTTGTGTATTACGTTTTTCTTTAAGAATACAAGGTGTTAGACTCTGCGGATGGATTTCATAGTCCACAGGCTTAAGGTTTGCAAAACTTTGTTGGCCGAATTGATCTCTTTCGAGTTATTGTACGGTTCATAATATAGACACTGTACTCATTATTAATGTATACACGTCACTTGAATTTTCCAAATTTTAAATTGCTTTATCTAACCAGACCTTCATACGAAACTATCTTGCAAAACTAGCATCCTTACAAGGGGATTTACCAAAAATCCTCTGGTGTTTGAAATTTATATAATTAAGATGCTTTACGGAATTTCCCTTTTGTTTCAGTAGTAGATTAGACCAATTTTGATTGCCACTCTTTTTGGCCCCTAGCATCCTCAATGAGCCCTAGAAGTATGAAAGAGCTGTATACTGCAGTGTTACCAACCTTTTCAGGTGCAATCACGGATGTGCCTTATGTTTACCTTTAAGAGTTTCTGTCATCGATGCCTTGTGTTCATCCAGTACAGATTCGTCTTTTGGTCGGATTAATGACGTGGTGTTATGTCGGATATATTAGGAACTATTGGTTGTAAATATCAACCACTATTTATAACATTAATCAATATGTTGTTTGAAAAATGCAATTGTTTTTGTTTATCAAAGATTAATATGTATTTTACAAATCATTCGCTCTATTTTTTGTTTATTGTTGACAGTTAAAGTTTGTTAAATATTAGGAATTATCCAAGAATAAATCCAAAACAGACTTGAATATAATATATCACGAACCGCCACGGTGCAGTATTTGTTAGGATAGAGCAATATCCTCTTTAAACAACCTTTGTTTTGAAACAACGTAATTGTCGATTTGTATTTTATTGCATCGATTTATTTCTTGTGTGATAAGTTATGAATTAAATCCAGTAACTCTCCAATAAATGAGACAAATCAATTTATTTGTCAAGTCTACAATGACACACACAAAAAAAAGCAGTCGAAGAAATTGTTCGAAACGATTACTTGTACTAGAAAATACGTCATTTTGTACCGGTTCTGACCGCAAGTAAACATTGTTTCGCTCCTTCCCAATGCAGGATGTTACGTCCTCATATGACCCTAGCTGTTGCGGGAACGTAAAACCTATGCTTGTCCCCGTTGTAACATAACACTTTACAAATAGCAATTAATGATCTATATACGGCAATGAGTCAATGTACTCGGTTTGAATGAATTTTTATATTTGACTGTCATACGCCAATACTTTATATATTGAAAATCTTGAATATATATTTTGTGGAAAAGTTTAAGACATAATGTTAGCAATGATCAAATCCAGAACACGTGCAATCTCCACGTTGATCACGGGAATAACCGCTACCAAAATACATGTCCTTGGTGATCATGTGACGTTCTATTTATAACCTATTCACTGGGGAGTTTCAAATGATATAATTATAGTAAAATAATAATATACAACATTTATATAGCGCCCTATATAATTTGTAAAATTACTCTAAATCGCTTTACAACAAATGGATAATAGTAATGCTTATAATTGTGAAAACAAAACACAAATGCTTACAATCACTTTTATACAGTTAAGCAAGCAATGTGCACACAATTGAACAAATAAAGGGTGGTATTTACATGACGTCTTTGCAAGGATTCTAAAATGCAGACGTGAAGAGGTGAGTTTTGATGTCCCTCTTGAACTTGGCAAGAGTATTTGACTTTCTAATAGCAGATGGTAAGCTATTCCACAACGTAGTCGAAACCCTCCCAAAGCCTCTGTTTCCGTAGGTCACAGTACGAGATTTTGGGACACACAACAAAGATTCTGACTCCGACTGCCGTGATCGTGACGGCTGGTACAGGGTAACAAGCTCCTGTAGGTACTGATGAGCTGGTCCAATCAGCGTTTTGTATGTGTACACCAGAATTTTGTACATCATATCAACAGGTGATAATCATTAACAGATAATCAACGTACCTGCATTATATTGGTCCGCAGAAAACATGAAAGGGAAAGTAGTTTTTCTAAGAAAAATCACCAACACAAAAGAAATGCAGTTTCATTTTATACATCAGCTGTTATTACACAAAAATCAAAGCGAATAAAGGCATTTCGCTGTTCAAAGAGATCATTACGGTTAATACTTAGGTTTAACAGTAGTGAAATTGTCCAAGGTTGTATCTCAGACCAGTTACCGACGGGTTGGCAGTTTGAACCGTTATTTAATTTTAACATAATTACTTAATCAATTTCATTGTAATAGTGATATTATTTTTCTATTCAATTTAACATTAAGAAGTTATAATTCACTAAATATTTGTAATATAGCATTTTCCAAGTTTGTTTAGCTACAATTTAGATTCGAATTCAATAACAATATATCATGCATTGTTATTATACAGCTATAAATAGAACAATCGGATGAGACAAATGTCACATATTTTCAATTTGCTTATATCACTTCTTTGTCTGTTATTAAATAAGCAAATTCTATCAGAATACTTTGAAACAGTTTAAAAAAGTATCAAATTTATCTTTTAGTTCAACATCAGAGCGGTGACCAAAGAAAACTGATAACTTAAACACGGTGAAATTTCTGCAAATTTAAGTTGGTATGTATGGACAACGTACATGATTTTCACATTCTCGTCCGCTAAATGTAAGTTTTTCCCCTAATGGAGTCGGGGAGGTGGGGTGGGGTGGGGG